GCATGAAAGAGGACAGGGACTGTGCCAGAACAGAGCAAGAGAGCTCCAGAAAAGGGGCTTCTTACCCATAGTGAAGGTGAGACACAGACTTGGAGGGAAAACCACCTTAACACATTGGGCTGCTTGACTTTTTACCAAAGCAGCATCTAAGCTAAGCCTAGTTTCATCCCCACAGAAAAGCACCGTCCCGGTCACTTCACAGCATTACTGCACTATGTAAACCCTGACTGAGGCTGCAGGTTCATCCATATTTGAAGCACGACTAAAATCTGCTGAATACGAGGGAAAAATGCTGGTTTATTCTGCTTTAATGTTGAACTTTTACTAATGTGTAGCAATATGTTTTGTGGACTTAACTGGACCATTAAGATAATCATCACAATGGAAAATAATTCAAAAGGCTGGTAGTTAAGTAAACTATTTTGCCATGAATATTAAAAATACTCCTTCCTTGTTTGCTTCATTTATTTCTTTCTTGAAAGCCTTATTTTGGAAGCACAGGTATTGAAATTTTCTTGGAACAATCTAATAAAGAGCACAGCTCTAGATACAGAAAGTACAAGTAGTACAGCATAAGATAAATCTTCAGCTTATTTAATGAGAGCTACAGGAGTTTGGTCCACATGCACATTTTTATCCAAAAAGAATCAATTGCTGTGGGTACTTTAATTACAAAAGTCTCATACCTTGAACTAAACAAGATCTTAATTTATTTTGCTTTAATAAATCCTTTGATACTCAAATTGTTTGTGGAAACATTTTTTGTTTGGTTGGGGTTTTTTGCATGTGGCATGTTGGTTTGGTTTAGAGGGGGGGAAATGCAAATATATTCACCAGTGGAGAGTTGGATATATCCGCTTCACGAAATGGGAAGCTGAGCTGCTGTAAAAGAGCAAAAGCAGAGTCAGTAATGAGCGAGGTATTTGGGCTTCCTCTACTCTGTCCCATCCCATCTTGTCCCCCCCAACTCCTTCAATACATCCGTGCCAAGGAGTAATTTAGACAGCCATTCATATTTTAACAATTTTAATTAAAAACAATATAAAAGACTACAGTAACACAAAACAAGTTATCAAAGTTGATTTTATCAACGGGCATTTTTTAAAAAAAAAAACTATACAAGCCCTTGCTGAAATTCTACTGGCAATTTTAAAGTAGGAAAGCAATTTCTAAACATGTTCCAGAAGTACTTTTGCCTCTCAGTAACTCACTACAGTGTCAGAACTACCACTCTTTACTGTGTAAGCCAGCTTCGGGTTTGGTATCTGTGTAACTTCATAAATACAGCACAACAGTCAGATCTCAGCTATAAATACTTCAATTTTCTTTGATACATGTACAATTGATTCTAGTCACTGGAATATCTCATTTTGTGAAGTATAAGAATATTAGATTATAGCTTAGATAATGCAACTTTCTCCCTCTGTCCAACATGCAGCCCCGCTTTGTTCAGTGCAACAGCCAAGGCCGTCATCCCACCCAACCCCATACACGCAGGTACCTTCAACCGCGCTACTCGGGTTTAAGCTGAAGCAGCTGACAAATGGCACTTACACAGTTAAAGGACCTAATAAAAAGTGTTGGCTATATGGAGCAGGGGGTTACATCTAACTTAAGATCTTTTATGCAGGTTTGTAAATCATTTGTAAGTCAAACTACAGCTGCTTCATCTCAAATTACTAGACAGGCCGAGATGCAAAAACCTTAACAAATACACCTGTAACACTCTTGTAGGAGTGTCTAATTTCCTAACCAAAACTGGTCTGTCACATCATTCCTTTTAGTACAAGCTAACTTTACATCAGGCGCACATAAGGCTTTTTTTCTGGGCCTTTCAACATGCTGGGCCCAAGAGAAGTGAGGAAAACTATCCAAAAAAGCCTTCACAAAATGGTAAGAAGTGACAAGAAAAGAGAATCAGAGAAAGGACTAGTGGAAAGAAGAACAGAACCTGTCCCAAGTTGGCACCTGCTGTTCTAAACAGTTCCTTCAAGCTGCATCACCTCACTGAGGAGCCTGCTGGCATTGCCATAACCAAATCCACAGCAACAGCAATTTGCAAATTATTTTTCCATGCAGACAGTTACTGCAAAACATGAAAATCTGGGTATATCTGCCAAGTACAAAACACAAACAGTTTCTGAAGATGGGAAGCTCAGATGGATCAAGAGAAATACACATTCAGGCATGACATCCAAGCGCGCAGCTGCGCCAGCCTTTGCCTGCGCCGAAGGTCAGTATCACGCAGCTCCTGGTTGATGCATCAGCCAGCGGTGCCTGACACACGGACAACAGGCAGAACACGGCACTTGAAGAATTTACTCCCTCAGTCTTCACATTAGCTCAGTCTATGGAACTCTGGCTCCCATTTGAAACTCTGCTAGTTCGTATGGCGACAGAGCTGCCAAGCGCAAAACGGAAAGGGCACAAGAGAGGAGCACACCAGCTGTTCCAAGTGACTCGCTGAGGAGGCAAAATATTCTTCCCTGGACACACAACGCATGCCAGCAGTCATCCCTCTCCTGCCTACCAACAGTGGGCTACAGAGGTGTGAGGCGGACACTACACAACATCTTTAAAGAGGTGATCATTGGACATCAACTCAAAATGCAATTTATTCCACAGAATGTAGTTCAAGCCATGTTCTATTTCACTGCAGATCATTCCCCTTTCTAGAGATTCTGAATTTGCCTTACATTGTTTTGGTCTTTGTATATTGCATAGTCCATAAGTACATACATTACCAACATCACCAATGTACAGCGAGCTCAATGCACAGAACAGCTCAACAGAAGCAAGACACACAACGCAGTGTAAGGTTAGATCAAAGGTGGATTTTCAACTGGAAAACCACAGCATGGTTGGTATCTTCCACACAACCTTAGCTCTCATGGAAACACAAAAGAAACCCAGTACAGCCAAGAGTGAATGCAGGTAGTTTTGCCTGTTTCATCCATGGTCAAATCTGTGTGCTCAGAATGTAAGTGCACACCCATACACGTACTCCCGCTGAATAGCCTTGCTACAAAGCAGCAGTTATCTGCAGTTTGAGCTCTTTTGCTTACATTATACCATTAAACTCTCTTTCGGTATTTCTCACTGGAAGTGCTTAGAACACCTGATGTTCTCATTTCACAGTGGGCAGGAAAAAAAAAAAAAAGGAAGAAAAAAAAAAAGAGCGCTCCAAATTCCCAATCTCATTCTCCTCTCTCTAAAATGAGTGCCACCTAGGGTATATATTACAGTGGATTTAAATAAAGAACTCTCCCAAGTGTTACACCCTGCAGTATTTTTTTTTTTAAACAGGTTTGATGATTATTCTTAGCTTACAGCTGTGCTTCAGAGTAAAGGCCAAATTTAGCTAATTGCCTGCAGCCTAATTTTCCCACATTCACACATAGCAGCTCCCCAATTCCAGTGATGAGGGGTGGAGACTGAAAGCCACATGATTAGCCCCCCAACTGAGAGGGCTTCACAAGCATGTCATTTGGCAGAGGTCTGCTTTGATACCTGATGTGATTACAAGTTTCATTTCTTATTTAACAGAAATAAATTAAACAACTGAGCTGCTGCATGAACAGCTACCTCCCTGTTACAGTCTGATGGCTCTTTCAAACCGACAGTAAGAGCACTTTTGTCTCAGCTCACACACTGGGTGTAAAAGGCTGTAAGTGAAATCTTGGTACAACCCGTTCTTGGGTCAGATAAGCACGTGCTTAGTTTCAGTTACGGCTGGAACACACAACAGGACACAGCTTCTGCTGAAATGTTTTCACAGCTTTCTCTTCTGTAGAGGTAGAGTGCTCTGAAACAAGAACGCAGGTTAAGTCCTGAAGAAACCGCTGCCGGAAGACATTTGCTGCTGGCCAAATGTGAAAGCAGAGCACACAGTTACCTTGTACCCTGTTCAGATCTCCTAGAGGTAACTGGAATTATTTTCTAATTCAGGTCTTAAGACCATACAGTTCCTAAATAAAACCTCATGAACTTTAATACAAGCAGTTTTAGCATGTTGAAGGAATTTTCAGCTCTTTACAACTTTTTTCTTGTACTGAAAAGTTGATACAGGCCTGATGACATTTTAGTTCTAGACGGAATACGTTGGCTAACAGAGGTAGCTTTTACTTCAAAAAATACCTTGGAAAATTTATATTTTAACCATTTGTGAAACCGTTGGTCAGAACAGAGGACACTACACACACCTGGAATAAAACACGGGTGCAAGTCAAACATTGGATCTATCCCAGCTATCTTAAAGTTATTTTAGCACTTTGGTGTCATTTCAAGTGAGGAAATACTAAACAAATCTAGGCTGCCATCAGTCTTCTCCCTACCTAAAGTAACAGATGTGCTTTTCTTCCTTTCTAAATACACAGTTAAAATAGTAAGTGTTGAGGTCTGGAAAAAGGTTCTTCTATCTCTGGGTAGCCTATGCCCACAAGTTAAGCAAAACAGGATTAAGCTAGAACATCGCAAAGATGTTGAATCATCGCAACGTGATCAGTTTTTGTTTACTCTTTATGGCTCCTTGGCAAGCCCAAGAGAAGACAGACAGTATATATAACAAGTTGATCAGCCTGGTCTTTCCAATTGCAAGACAGCCACTACAACTAATTTCCACTGGTATCTAGTGGCAAGTTAGTAGTAGAGAATATAAAAGCGCCACTATCCTGCATCACCTAATTGCATACATTAAGCTGCTTAAAACCAATTTAGCAATATATTTAGTCATTTATAGCACTTCAAGAAAAACCTCAAAGCATTGTGTTACAAGTTACAAATTCAGCTCTTCTGCGTTCCATATACTGTACCTGCAGCAGATGTTTGCAGTAAGTGGAAGTTTACATCTGTATCTCCCACTTCATTAATGGGAAAGCAATAAGTGATTTCACACCAATTCATTAATAAATAACTATTCCTAGACAAGTTTGATGAGCTGACAAAGTTCAAAAGCCAGAAATGTCCACATGCAGGAGCTAAAGCAAAGGAGCAAATAAACCAGAATTTGCTTTGGACTCTACAATGGCAATACTGGGAACGTGGACCTTGAAGCAGTTTCGCACTAAAAAAGGTGCCCTAAGACACATTCCTCCCATTCTAAATGCACATGTAGAGAAATGCCCAGGTCAAGATTGTGAGGGATTTCTTTTTCTGAAGATCAATCAGTATCTTTTCCAGATGTTTGAAAGCCTCTGCTTTCCTCAGCTCACGATGACTACTGATATTTATCCTGTGGTTCATCCGCATCACTAGCCTCCGTTTCACTGCTCTGAGAGAGATCTTGTTGGCTCTCTATTCTGTCCAGTTCCAGAAAACTAGTAATGAGTTTGGCAACGGCTTCCACATCACTGTGGAAAATAAGAAACAATGTAAGAGTTAGTGGAACTGTGGTGTTGACAAGGACAGGCACGCTAATTCTTCAGAATAACTGCTTGAAGGGCCAGTCAACATACGGCATAGAATATGACTGACAGCATCCCAGTTTTGAAGGCATACCACACCAAGCCATTACCTCCACATCAGAACAAATCAATCCTTTTCCCACAGTCCCTGCTGCAATATTCCTTACTATCAATTCTTAGAATAAATCCTGTTAAGTGATAAATACCCTGAGTGTTTGCAAAATAGAATTAATCCCCTCTGCCATTGCACAGCTGAGCTAGTGAAGGTAACTACAGCAGACATGCAACACTAAAGGGATCTTAGATTATCTAAATATGATCCATCTCCTGCTGGGAGATGGTGTTACCCAAATGTCTGCAACAAAGCATTAAAGAGTTTAAAAAAGTTAAACTGAATAACACAAAGTCATATCAGCAAATACAGAAATGGAGCTAAGATAAGGCTCAGTAGTTGACAATTACTGATCCACGTGATTGCTATTTCCCACCTTACACATTCTAATTAAAAAAAGTCCACACTGCACCTTCTACAGCCCAACACTGCACTCTGAGTCAGTGGGTGTGAAAATCCAGTGACAAATCGTAGCACAACCAGGTAACCCTTCCCAAAATATCGCACTGTCTCCTCTTCCACGTTCACATCTCGGATCTCATTCAGTAGAGCCACTACTGTAAACAGATGTGGAAAACAAAGTAGTCTGTTAGCATTACGGTAAACTCTCAGCACTGCTACTAATGACTTCCCCGACTGGGGCTCTATGCTCTGGAGTGCTATTGCTCTGACCCCATACAACTGGGGCAGTCCTGCAATAGCGAACACTTCCCGAGCTACTCCAGCAAAACAAACGAGGAAAGACTACAGCACACGCTAGCTGTATAGGCCCTAATGAACAAGATAAACTAATGGTCCCCAGCTCCTGGGAGGCAGTGTATTACTTATGTTTCCCACTTTAATGACAGTTTTAACTATTTTTCTGTAGAGTAGGTAAACAGGTGTTAAGTTTACTGTAACTGAATACTGAAAGATTTAACTGTTCAGAGCATTTGCAGATCTCTGGGTCCCCACGTTAACGGTACTTGAAACAGATATTGCCAAATAACCTCTCAGGAAGAGATGTGCTCAGCTCCAGCATATCAACATACCTTGAAGAAAAGTTCAGAAGCATTAAACATTCTTCTCTCCACATCTCTTACCTTTCATCTCCAAAACAACTGTTTAAAAAACAATTCAACTTCAGGAAATTCCAAATTGTGTCAGTTTCCTAAGCATATTGAGAGTTGGTTTGATTTAGACTAGCAAGCAGAATAAAAAAATCTGACATTGAAGAGGATCCTACTTTAGTTTACAATGGAGCTCCTGTCTCACAGTGACTCACCCAAGTCACACATTATACCTCAACTTCTGTTACTCCAACAGGAAGCTCAAAAGAAATGAGACACCGCGTTAAGCTGAGCCTACTGAATATGCTGGTTTAAATGCATATTATGTATCTGCAAGATATAACATGCCTGCTAGCATATGATATCTAAAGATTTGCCTGCTACCAAAACCAGACTAGAATATAGAAATCTCAACTCCTGTATCCGCAATTTAAGGTTTTCACCTGTCCCACCTGCAAAGCAGGCTAGCCAAGGGAAATACAAACCTGCATGTTAACATCCCAAAGGAATGGCTAAGACTATTATGTAAAGCAATGTGTAAGCCTAGTTACCTGGAATTAAAGTAACTAACAAGATGCATTCAGCAACCTAACCTGAAAAAGCATTTGGGTCCCAAGAAGCAGATTATTACATCCAGTGCTTGGGAACAAGAGAGATCCGGAAACAGATGTGATTAATTTGAGTACAGAACTCCAGAAACCCCTATTAAATGGGCATATATGCACTTCTGTCTGCTCACCACATTTACTATCACAGATAAGGCTTTCTCACCTTGTTCGTTGCCTCCTTTTGAGAAGGTCAGTATTTTTTTGTAAAGATTGAATGTTTTCAGGCAGACTGTTCCCTTGCTCTTATCAAATACAGCTTCCTGGAAAATTGAAAAAAAAAAAAAGCAACATTTTCTTAAAAACATCATCAGTAGCTATATATCAAAGTAAAATAAGAAATACTTATATGGGAGAATAATGTTAGTAACACAGAAAAATATACAGTTATTTTAGAGACAGTACTTTATTATTAGACCATGAAAATCACAATCTTGCTCCTGGCTTTAACAGAGATTTTATTGTAACTCTTGTGTTACTTCTAGAAGGAAGTTAAAGCTGGTTACGTTGCCCCTCTTGCCACTTTTCTTATGTAATAAAAACTTTGCCTGAAATCAAATTTGAACACTAACTTGGAGCTTCTTTAATTTTCACTTTTGGTGTACACATTTGGCCTACAGTATAATCATACAGTGAACATAAATTCTAGTTACACTTTTTACTAACCTTCACTAACTCCATCAAAATTCCGGTGTTGTGCTGTATGAGCCAGGCTTACACCAGATTTAAAATATCCCTGACAGTTGATGAAGAGACTTGTATGTGTGGATTGCTTATTCTAATAACACCACAGGTCAGTAATGTGACAAGCCTATACAGCAGGTTATTGCTCTCAGTCCTACTCCCAACAAATCAACATCCACAAGATTATAAACCAGCTTCACAAACACCACTCTTTTCCCAGTGGAAAACAGCCCAGTAGCCTGGAGCTACCCCATTTAATGGTTGTTCTGTCATTAGCTGGTACAGTAAGTACAAAACCACGTTGCAGTTCAATGTGCTATTCTTTCTCCCTCTTATATAAAAACAGCAAAAGGCCACAAAACAGTTTGGGGCAAGTCTCCCCTTAAAAAACACTTATATTTAACTTCACATTTTCATGCTTGTGTAGTGAAAGAATTACTGCCTTAATTCTAGTCCTAGTATAGCAACCCCAAAGGGTTTCCTCAAAACCAAAACACATAACTTGTCTGTTTGGACTGAGTAAGTTCATGGGGCTGAAGGGCATGTGGCTGCTGGAATCAGCATCTGCCAACTGTTTCTAAACTCACACAACCTCATTTCCCAAGTTCAGCATCTTACCTCCCACTGGTCCAGATTCTGTGCTGCCACAAAGAAACACCCGGCCATATAGAAGAGTTTCCATGCCAAGCTGTCTGAACAATGCAAAAAAATGCACAAATTTAGTTTGGTTTTTTTTTTCCTTCTTTAGTATTCAAGCAGTTTTAAAAGCAACATGTTCCCTTTAAAGGCAACAAAAGGAAAAAAGGTTTCTCTGATGCAACATTTTTGCCTTTAATTGCAATGCAAGCTATTTTACAGTGCTCTCCCAGGATAAAAATACAGAAACTCTTTGCATATTTTTCAAAGACTCCATGTACACTGTGCTCCAAACTATGCAGAATTATAAGCATATGTATTATTGGCAAGGTTGTAACATCACTACATCTTTCTTTTCCCTAAAAGCAAAGGCATGTTAAAAGGCATCAACAAAACTCTCAACCTGCTCTCAACCACCACATATTTGTGCTGCGGAGGAGAATGGTAAGGGACAACGGAAATTCACTGAAGCAAACATGTTTCTTCATAAAAGGAAGCAGCCAGCTCTCTTGACAAACAAACATTTGCATTTCATGTCTTGGAAATGTTTCCATATAGCAGCCTAAGCAATTTGCTTACTCAGACTTTTACTGAAACCAGAGTAGAACTGTCCTCAGTATCATTTCAGAAAAATTTGTTGCAATGTCTTAAGAAAAAAAGGTTGATATAGCTGGTGACTTAAGCAGCTTTCACTGGACTTTGCTCTTAAAATAAAAATACATTGAGTATATTGGCAGTATATTCCTATACACTATTAAGTCTTAAAATTTGATGTTAACAGGATGCAGCCAGAGAATCCCAGGACAGCCTGCAGGATCAATTCCATAGATGGCACTTGGTGCGTCCGCTGTATTACAGGGGGGCAGGAAGGAGCCGTAGCTGTCTGTTCTCTAAAGGTGTTTTTATGGGTAATCTCTGCCAGTGATGATTTTACAGTTTCCAGAGAAACAGAGCACTTCCATCAAAGGCAAGGTAATCATTTCATTATGGTGGCACACAATCATTATACGTCTTCCCAGGAGAGCTCTGAGGCCCAGCTAATCACATTTATAAAACACGCTGAAAGTACAAAATGCCACAGAGTACTAATCATTATTAAAAATACTCTTACAAATGGAAAGGGAAGCTGAGTAAGAAATAGAGCATTAAAGCACAGTAAGTCACACACAGGCAACAATTATTATTGGATTTTAATATTCACACCACAAAATGTGACAGGTACTTATACTGCCTTTGTAAGGCCAGACAGAAGCTGCAGAGAGGAGTCATCAGCATGAAAAACAGATCAACAGGAAATAATTCTTCAAGAAAAATGATAGACCATTACCTGCACTATAATAAGCAGCAGCCAAACCTATGGAGGCTATTCCTAGGATAAGAGGGGAGAGAATTAAGACAAAACAGCAGCTCAAACCACCCTGATGAAAAACATATGAATATTTACAAGTTCATCAATTTTCAAAAAAGGCACAAATGTGATTGCAACATTGATCACTTTAAGAAACAGTCAGTTATTTTCTCTGAACTCAGTAAGAAACACCCTCTCATTCTGCAAGGATACTAAAGAGCACAGGGGCTGAAGTCAGAAATAAAAGGTTGTGACAGAATTGGGAACAGAACTTCAGAGGGACACTCAATCTAACCATTACACCATACTTCCTCTCAAGCGCAGTACAACATTGAGCATGCTAAACACTAGAACGGTTATTACACTACAACGGTTATTTTTCCCCTCTAAGTGCTCTTTGGAGCCAAAAGAACACTTCTGCAATAAAGTTGTGTCCTCCCACTGAGGAGGAAGCAGTGGAAAAGTGCCTCTTGCCCCAGAGTGCTGCTGCAACTGCAAAGATCTTGTCTCAATGAGAGTTTGACAACACAACATCACTGAAAGCAATGACAACGTTGTAGAGCTAGTGCAATGGGATCAACTTAGCTGGAAAGCAGAATATGCCACATTTTCCCCACTAGCTCTCTCAGTGTGGTCCTGAAAAGTACCACTCCCTATATTTTTTTCTGCATATTGAGTAGTGTTTAAAACCAGATGCCTTTCAGAACATCCTTTATCACTTCCTATTTCATATGCACAGTGCCGTTAAGGGTTCACTGCCAACCACACGTAAGATATAACCCCAGCATCGCTCCACTGCACATTTTTCTATTTCTGAAAACCTAGATGTTTTCCAGTGTAAGCATGCATTCCCTTCCGAAGCTTCACATTTACATTGCTACATGGCATATAATAAACTTTCTTCATCTTTTAGGACTCCCTCAAAATTCTGTCCACGACCTTCTGAGGTTCTGCAGATGACAGACTGTAATAATTACCAGTCTCACAGTGAAACTACCACACTGAGAAGGAGACTTCAGACTCATTTAGCGGCTATGCTAAAGGAGAAGTTCAAAGCATGATGATTCCTCTTCTTCAAAGAAAAATGCCTAAAAGACAGGCATCTCTTGTTAGAGGCTCTTTCAGGAATTTATTCTGCGACTCCTTTCCTTTAAAGTAAGCTCTGGAATAAACTGAGGAATATTATGGTCTTACCAACAAAGAGAGACCAAGATCGGATGCCAGGTGACCTCTTCAGATGAAGATGGAAACTTGAGCGGTTTTCAACCAACATGTACATCTTCAGAAGAAACTCGCAACAGCCCAGTCTGACTCATGAAACCTCACTGACAAAAAAAAAAGATGATTAAAAAGATAATTTAAAATCATTGCTGACTCCAACACTCTCCCTTCCTAGCACTTGTCAAGAGTTATCAAGTCTTAATCTAGACTCTAAAAGATGTTCAGGGTAAGAACAGTCTTTTTTCCACAGGAAGAGCAATAGACGCATGTAAAAAAACTTGCACAACGACAACAGGAATCTGAGCTCTTTGAGAAACTTCTCGTTTGGGGGATAAAAGTATCTTCCTTTCTATCACAACCAGATCCCAGAAGAAAATGTGAAAAACAAGAACGTGGAACAATGTTGTTGCTAATTCATGCACACTTCAAACAAATAAAACAACAAGAGCAATAGAAAGTTCTTTGACAGCATTTTTCCTGCTAACTGCCAAGGCTGCCATGAAGGACTACCCTGGCAGCTGAAGCAGGACAATGCAGCCTTCTGCAGCACAGACTTTGGGTCTCTCATCCCCAACAGACCAGCAAGGGTTACAGCCTCAGCCCAGCAGTGCCAGTGTCACATAATGCCGTATATGGCATTCCAATCTTTCAAGTCAACTCAAGAATAAAACCGGGAGATTCCAAACAAGAAGTATGTTTGTCTCTCGCCAACAAGACTGTGCCTCCAACCTAGTCAGAAAATATCGGTAGAGATTAAAAAGAAAGGTACTAATTAAAAACAGGAAGAGCTGAGAAATCCCAAGCAACATTTTCAGCAAGTTTTTACTATTTACAGCATAAAATTGTTTGACTTCTGGCATGATTGCGAGCTCCAGTGCAAAAACCAATCCTAGCCTAATGCTCTCAACACAAACATAAAGACTGACTTGTACTAGATGCAAGACGCAAACAAGGACCCAGCTGATATTTCAGAATTGCCCCTAGAGAAAGGACAGGCTGCATACTGCTTCTCTTGCACAAATTGGTAGAGATGCATGTCATTATTATGCAGACCAGAATCCAGTAAAAGTAAGTGGGAAATGAAAGCATGGGCTAAGCATTGTGTCATGATGTTAGCATGGTATACCTTGGCCTTAATCACGGATATCTTCCATTTTGCTCTTTTGTGTTACAACCTTTGTATCACTTAAGGTTGGGCGTTTTAAACAGACTTGCCCAAAACGGATTTATAAAAAGGACATCTACTTTTCTAATCAGTGTAATGAAGCTCAATATCTGTGAAGCATTCTGGGGACTGCAGGAGCATTAAACAGCTGGTTTACTGTCAAATACAATGAACGCCAACTCCTTCTATTGACTTGGTACTTTAACCATTAAATAGCCAACTGTTCTGCTCACAGAGCCAGCTCCTAGCAGGTTGGCATTAAGCTGTTGTTAGCTGCCCACAATAACAGGCTTCCAGAAGAATGCCCATATTAACAGGTTTTTGAATAACCATGGAAAACACTTAGGGAGCAGGCCCAAGCACATCCAGGTTATTACAGAATTCCTTCAGTCATCTTGCTGTTCTTAGATACTACATGACACTCCTGCAATTATGCACCAACTAGCTAGTTTAGACACAAAGCTCCAGGGATTTATTTCTTTTTAATTTAATAAAGCAGAATTAGCCAAGTCTTTTCAGTGAAATAAAAAGCGCATATGACTTCAATTTTAATCTCTTAGCAACACATCTGAGAGAATCTGAAACCAAGAGACAAAGCCACTTACACATAAGGCACACTCCATCTCCTCTGGATGTTAAGCATCAAATTTTAATTTTCAAGCGACTCCTGCGAGTTGCTCTCAATATATCGGAAAATATTTCAACACATACAAAGCTTTCTCGTGCCTGCAACCTAAAAAAGATATCAACAAGTTATCAAATACATAAAGACCACTGCAGAAACCTGGCTGTATTTCACAAACACACCCTACTTAAAACACAATTCACATATACACCAGTTATATCCACTAATGTGAAATCCATTAGTGTGAACTTCAGTATCTCCCCTCCATATTCATTCAGTGAAGTCTAACCATGCAAACGCCAGTGTCAGCTTCGGTTGAACACTCAAAGTCGGGGCAGCTGCTTGCAAGATCAGTGCCTCAGGGAATAAAAAGCACCAAAGCAGCTTCTTAAAAGTTACACTTAATAGAATAAGTCATAAACATACCTTTATGTGAACACCAAAGTTTTACTATGACAGTTTTACAATTACACAGAGAGAGAGACACCTTTGGGCTGCTAATTTTCCTTGAATGTGTTGGGTTTGACATTAAACTGGTCTCCAGCACTGAAATAAACACCCATCTACTTCCCCCAAGCTCCCGACTGAGGGTGAGTGAGCAAAAGCCATCCGAACCACCACCGTGAAATCTTTACTACGGACACCTATCGAGGCGGGACCGCGCACCGGGATGCGTTTCCTTCGCCCCGCGTTCCGCACCCGCCTCCCCCCGTCAGACCCAGGCACTAACCGCTCTCCCCTTGCTGCGCGTCCCCCCGCAATGGGGAACAGGGCTGCAGCGCTGCCAACACCCCATAAACCTCGGGCTTCCCCCCGACCCCGGGGGATAACCCCAGTCCTTCAGCCGGGACTCGGCCCCCACCAGGCTGAAGAGACAGCGACCCCCGGCCGACACACCGCCCACCACCAGCTCCTCAGGAGGGGCCGCCAGCCGC